ATGATGTCAAAAATAATCCAAATATATGAGGAAGGTCTATGTGTGAACTCACTTCTTGTTAAAGTCACAAGACAAAGATTCTATGAGATTGGGATGTAAAGAGAACAAAAAACAAACTTGAAGATATGGTCATGCATGATGCAGCTACTGACATAAGTAGAGAATCAGGTGAAACACACTGTGAGGAGTACATTTAATGCATGTTAGACAGAAAAAAGAATGTATTTAAGTTCATGCATTTTGTGACAATAATTAGTTGTTCATCTTGTTTGTACTTTCTGTGCAGTGAACAAAAAAACCTACAAGATCACTGCTCATTTTCTTCTTCTCAAGTGTAATTCCAAATAATTCAGTGAAGGAAAAATAGTCCATGATGATCTAAAATGTCTAATGATTAGTCAGTTGTTTGTTCTTCAGATGAAAATGTGGTCATTCTTATTATTTGGTGTGAGGGACCAAGCAGGCAGGCACAAGGAAAACAAGTTGAAAATTTCAAAAACTAGGTATTTATTGAACAAAAATATCAAAAAGATATAACATAATGAAAAGCAAAAAACAGTTCTGGGCCCATAAAAAGAGGTCAACTAAACAGAACTGAACTGAAGCAAATCCCAACCTAACCCAAACAGAACAGAGCACAAACTGACCTAACACTGACACACACACTGGGGTTTTTTAAACTGGCTGATCAGACCATTAAACAGGGGGATAGACAGAAACAAACACTACTGAACAAAGCACAAAAGACATAAGGCTAGGTTTAAGGGAAAACAAACAAACAAAAAAAAGATAGTATATTCTACATACTACTTATATACAAACTCAAACAAATGCTTTTAACAGTAAACAAATCAAATTGTGAGGAGACTTCTTTTTTCCCACCCCCCTGGAGCAGACACAGTTCATCCCTTCCAATTACCCCTCATCACCAGGATTTGGGGCAGCTGGGCACACTGGCTCCTCTTAACTGGGCCACACCTGGAACTAATGATTTAATAAAGAAAAGAAAGTAAACAGAACATACAATGACAAAGTAACTANGCTCTCATCAACAGAGGATCACCTCCATTTTCTGAACAGCTTCCCCTCCCTGTCACATCTGACCGAGCCTGCACATTTACCCATGATCGACCTTCAGTCTCTGCAGTACTTTGAGGAAGTGGTCGCTGCTGCGTCGAGGATCAAAGACAAACTGCAGACGACTCTGAGTGACGAGTGGGTGAAGAGCTCAAGGAAAATCACTGACCTGAGCGTGCAAGAGCCCAAAACCAGAGCTTTGTTTCTGAAACATGGCTGCCAAATCACACTGGATCCAAATACAGCAAACCCGTTTTTGTCTCTGTCTCCCAACAACAGAAAGGCAACACTGATGGCGGTACAACAGTCACTGTGGGTTCACCCAGAAAAGTTCTTAACGTTGTGGCAGGTGCTGAGTTGTGACGGTCTGACCGGACGCTGCTACTAGGAGGTGAAGGTGAGCGGGAGCGTTTCAGTCGCAGTTGCATACAAAGATATTAGCAGAGTAGGCAGCAAAACTGACTGC